TAACTAGTAGATAATAATAGAATAGACTAAGACTAAAAATAAAATATATATATATATATATATATATATATATATATATATATATATAAAATAATAAAGAAAACAATTCGAAGTACATAATATCCATTTTCCTGAATGGTTACCACTTTTTAAAGGTAATTGGAGCAGAAATCTTCATTCGATTTGAATGCTTCTAATAGTGCTACTAGCTCGAATCACATTTCTAATAGTACTAGTATGGATTGCCTTTTCTTTAAGGTATAATTGGTTACTACAACACATACAATAAATACCATGGCACCAAGAACATCCTATTTTGTATAATAATGAAGTCAAGATCACAATTTGGAAATACATGGGATAACATTTTTATCTTTTGTAGATAATTTCCCTAGTGGATTACTTGACCCTAAGTTCAATAATCAATACATTGACTTCAAATATGAGGAACCTTTTTACAAGTCTATTAGGAGACATTTGATATCGATTGCTTAAATAGGTTTCAAGTCGGTAAAGTGTGATATATCATTATCATATGAAACTTATTTATATGGGATATCGTACTTGACTTCATAGAGGTACAAATCTCAATTGCCAATTCGGATCAAACTCGATTCCAAACTAATATGAGTCCCGATTCCAAACTGGTATGAATCTTAGCTCCACATAGGTCAAAAACTCGATTCCAAATATGTCGGAATCTCGATTCCAAACTGGTGCAAATATCGATTCCACATACGTTGGAAATTTGAATCCTAGGATTTTTGAATCTCGATTCCTTGGGGTTCTATTTCAAGGAGGTAGGAATCTCAATTCCAAGGAGGTCAGAATCTTGATTCTACATGTGGCGGATCTCGATTCCGTTTTGGTCAATTCTCGATTCCCAATGGGAATCTCGCTCCCGCGATTCCCATTGTATGGAAATCAATTTCAAAAATAGGAATCCTCTAGCTGGCGACGATTCCACCATTCCGATTCATAAAACGATTCAAGTTCCCAGGCGTTTCCAACAACTATGGCAGCGATCGTAAAGAGCTCTTTTCTCTCGTCAATGGTGTGGCTAACCCATGGGTCTCAGGATCAAGCCCCAATGTTAATGCATAACATTCGGGTTTATAGAGACCTTGTGTTTAAAGGAGGATTTATATTAAAACACTTCAAAAAGGGGGAACAAGTTTTTTTTCCAACCATAGAGGGAAAAATTAATGTTATTTTTAATATATTTGTTTAATTTCAAAAGATGTATATTTTAATTTTAGTTTTAGGATTTATTTTTAAAGTTTTATATTTTTTAGGGATTTTGGGTTTTTATTTTTGTATTTTTGGTTTACTATTCACTAGTTGCTAGTCATAGGTATTGTTCATGTGTACTTTTCACGTTTTTGTTCACACATTACTGTTCACAAGGTTATTTTTGAAATGTTAAGATTGTTTAGTGGTATTTTAGAGTCTTAAATGTTTACTTGGATCTTAAGTTAATTTTAGGGTTTCATAGGCTTGTAATAATTTAATTAAAGAATATTTTTTTAAAAAGATTATCTTGGTGATTTTCTTGTTTTCTAGTAATCTTTGACCAAGTTTTGAATTAATTTTAATTCCTAATTATCTCTTTATAAGAGAATAGGATTTCGAAATTATTATCCTAGATTGTTCTAGATAATTTTAGAGAATGAGTTTTGACTAGTTAAAGTTCTAGGTGGATTAGAAATGGATATGGGTCAAATCTCAGGGGATAAGGTTCTTATAGATTCACTCTAGATTATAATGGCTTATCTTGGAGATGAATGGCTCAAATTGAATATTCTCTCTCACGTCACAGATCACCAAATAATTCTAGATAATGTTGAACTCCTAATCTGACTGGGATTCCCTAGGCCCTAAAGGTCTATAAATAGGGGCTTCTCCCCCTCATTCTATACATCTAACTTCTCTCCTCTCTCTCTTTTCCACACCTCTCTCTCTGACTTCTTTATGCTTTCTTTCGCTAGTCCTCTCTAATTCTTTCTAAGAGGGGTACACCACTCTCCCTAAGTGTCTAGGGTGGCATTCCCAGCATTAAAGAGAGAGAAAAAGAGGGGCAAGCCCAGCACTAGCTCTAGTTTTATGGGAGGTGCCAGTTGTGGCATTGCTCAAGATTGAAAAAGGGTTCTTAATGGAATCCTCATTGTGACCCTAGCTCTCTTGCCCTATAAAGGTAAAGAAAGAAAGTTTTGAGTTTATAACATGGAATTTTACATTGCCATTGCTTTCATTAAAGTTTTTCTTTTTTTGGCTCTATTTACAGCCATGTTTTTTCTCCATTATTAGTGGTTTTACTTGTTGATATTCGGGAACAAGGTAGATATAATTTCCAACCATTCCTTCCTGCATTGGAGAGAGATTTGGGGCATGGAGGAGAGAGAGAATTAAGGGAGAGAGAGGCTTAAGAATTGTAGGGTTTGAGAAGGGGAAACACCTCTTTATATAGGTCTCAAGATCCGCCCCTAAAGTATGCCTATCGAATGACTCACTTTGACCAATAGGAATTTAGAAAATCTCTAAAGTAAGAGAGAAATAAATCTGAGTTATCCATCCTACAAATCGGCCATTATAATTTACGGAGGCATACTAGGAACATTATCCCTTTAATATTTGACCCATATCCACTTCTAGTCTAATTAGGATTATACCAATTTAAAAACCTTCTAGAACTTCCCTTTTATTTCCCTTAAATTAGTAGGAAGTCAAAGATAAATATTTTGGTCAAACTAACTCCCACAAAAATAGGCACATATAATCTTTCTTCTTTTAAAAGACTTCCCTTAACTAACTTAAAGCATCTTTTAATTAAAACACAATCTAATCATGAAAGAAAGCAAGAAGAGGGACATGCCACCCCAATGGGTGATTTGTGGGCTTTACGCCCCACCCATGGGGTGCGGCACACATGTGGGGCTGGATCCAAAGGCCCCACTTGTTCCCTTCCTCATGACCAATATTTTGAAAATACCCTTTTTCGGGAAATTACAGCAGAAATTATGGGGCACACATGAGAGCATGTAAAATGTACAAGAAGGAGCCCCAGTGGGTAAAAAGACATTTCTTGGGATACATAAAGGAGCCCCATTATAGGTAATGCACAAGAACAACCTTGAGCAGTTAGTGCAATGCCAACAATAGTATATTGATATTTACACCAAATGTATGTTAAGTATATAGAATGACCATTACTTTATATAGAAAAGAAATGGAGCTATGAGGTGACTAGCCTTATGCATACCCTCTATTAAAATCATGAAATTAAGGTTATGACCATGCACTTTGCACAGGTCTGAATGAACTCCTTGAGGACTGAATATCTAGGATCCAATATTAGTTGGTCTGTCAATTTTTTTAGTTAGGCAACAGAAAAGCATGCATCAACATTGTGCATCACTTTGAAAGAATGTATGAAGGAGCTTCTATACAAAATGCTCCCTGAACTAGTAATTTGCCTGCCTCCAAGCACAGGGGGGCTATAACTAAAGGGCTCCATTGTGTACATTTGTGGAGTGATTACCTTACCCCTCACTTTTGAAGTAGTATCCTTGATTGGTATCCCAAAAGCATAGAAGTTCTATCATGAGTCTCACTGGGGTAAGGCCTGACAGCAGCTATGAAATTTTCTCTTTTTATTTGACTATGGTACAACTGATAGAAAAATCCAACATAATGTTATTTAAACGATAGACTTTTATTTATCTAGAGAAAGTTTAAAGGTGTGGATTAATGCCTTTTCCAAAGCAAGGTACATTGTTTTGGGCATCAACCGTTTCAACAAAGCATACCAGTCCCCTTTTGGAAGAAAGTTGCTTTGTTTTGCAAATACCTTTTTATTGTAAAACATGGTTCAATAAGCCACATAATGATGCACAACTCTTCACAAGAGATTTAAATATTTACACCTAAGCAGATATAACTCCAAATGACATTAATCATTTCTTTTATTTGACCCACCATGTTGCATTTCCACAATCTGCTTATGGGTTTGAGTCCATAGGTTAGTGGCTCTCCTCATGTAAGCCATCGTAGTTTAGCCTGTGCCAGGAAATTGGACAACCTTATAACAAGGCAGAATTCTGGGAATATCTAGTTGCTTATGATGCTGAAAGAACATCACCTAGGTAGTGACAGTTGATATTTGTGCGAAAGTTACTATTCAGCAGATACAAATGAAACTTCATCATATACACCAACTAAGCCTAAAAAAAGAAAGTTGACTAAATACATCCTGTATCTCTAATTTTTGCCAAATCACATCTTATATAAAATTAGAAGAAAGTCCCAAGAATGTAATTTATGATGTGAAAGACTTATCAAATACCAAAGCAGTCCCAAGAATGTAATTAATACATAATTCACTCTTCAATAATGGACCATAATTCGTTTCGTTACAGTATAAATATGCTCTTTAACACATATTCCCAGTCTCAATTTGTAATTTGAACAAACAGGTTTTGACTATACATCATGGGCTACCTTCTTGGACCATTGAATTCTTAACTTTATTTTCTATGTTTACCAATTCTTCATGATAAATAAGTTAATGCCTATATGCATAACTGTATCCCTAATGCTTATCTCTGCAGGTTTTCATTTGCACACATTTAACTGAGCTATTAAGTGAGAAATGCTTGCCGAAGGTCTGAAGAATCTTACCTTTGTTTACTAGCATATTAAAGAAGGTCATGTTTTGTAGTAGATATTAATGTCATAAAAACTAACTGCTTCAGTCGGAGAATATCAAGTTTTACACCATGAATGTATTGAGACCTGACAAGTATTGCATAAATGAAGCAGAAGACATTATTTTCCTTTATCGGTATGTTCACAGTATTCTAGCTCATCTCTCTTTGGTATTTAACTCTTTGAGTTCTTAGCCTGTTAAGGTACTATAAGTGTTTTAGTGCTTTTAGAATCTTTTGAGACATGAGATTTTAAACCATTGTCCAGGCTAGTCCCAGGGCATGCATTTCTGAGCTATGGTATGTATTTTTTTGTGAAATTTTTTAGATGTCATATTTCTCTTGGAAATTCATCCTCCAACTAAAACCCTTATCTTTGGCAGGATTACATTGTGCACAACTTGCTGGTATGTATCTTGGAAAATTTCAACAGACATCTTATATGTTGAAACTCATTTTGCATACAAGAGGTTTTCTTGCAATATTGGAATAGAAAAAGTACAAAACTCGAAAAATTGAAAGAAATAGCACAAATTTGGTTAAACTCTTGAAGTCGTTGACTATATAACAAGCAATCCAACTTAATCTGATAAGTGGACCCCAAGCTGATTGGACCTTTAATCAGATTGAGGTGGATGTTCCCTTTTTTTTTGGGGGGGGTTTTGGGGGGAGGGGGGTGGGGGATGAAATGTTCCTTTTGTAGATCCTTCTTTACCATCTTATCAAGAGGAAGAATTTTCATTCCATTTGCAGTTATATATATATATATATATATATATATATATATATAACGTTGCATTACATTCTAAATTCTGCGTTTTAATCTTTTCACAGTTGTTTCATATGTAACTTGCATCAATTAAAGAATATTTGGTTTCTTTTTCCATAAGTGTTCATTGAGATGTAGAGAAATAGGCTCATTGTTGCTAGACTAAATATGAACGTATCAAAAACGCTAGGCGGCCAGCCTGGCGCGCAGATCCTCGGGTGCCCTGTAGTGGACAATCATCCATTTTTAGCTCTGTAGTGGAAAATCATAGCAATTTTAAAAATATTTGTTATCCTAATATACATAGATACATATATTTGTGTCAAATTTTGTAATTTATTTCATTTCGCAACATACGTTTTACTTTGGGGGTTAAAAAATAAACCCATATAACTTTTTTATACAAACTTGGGGGGCAAAATGACCCATTCTACCCTTTTGGGCGAATTTAAAAAGAAATTTCTGCCTGACTTCACTGGGCGCCCGCCTAGGTAAAAACGGCCTTTTTGGGGTGCCTTTTCATGAGGCGTGCGGTTTTTTGTTAAAAAACCCCTAGGCGTGGGGCAGACCGTTGTTTTAAACAATGCTAAATACGTAGGAAGTCTAGAATGTCCATCTTCTTCTCACTGCTTCAACTTCGGTGCTAAGCATCTCAACTGATATTTGCTGTATTAGTTTTAAAATATGTGAATGAACTATACCGACAAATACTTACCACGGGTGATATTTGAAATGCTGATATATCACAAATATCCTTTTTTTTGTCAATAATGTCAGATGAAAAAAGGCAGAAGCAGATCCTTTCTGGGAAATGTCCAATCGTTGTAGTGTCTGAATTTAGTGTGTTACATGCTTCAAACATCAATATGTATACTGATTCTTGAGTAGAATTGTTGTTAACATTGTAAATTTCGTGCCGCTGCATTTGCGTACTTTATGAAGCTTGACATTTTGAATTCCATAATTTTGGTTGCAATGGCTGGGATCAGTTTCTTGATGTCTGGCATAAGCTTTGTGTCAGCAGTAATTGATTATATCGGTGGGTCTTCTTTGTAGGCGTGCCTGAGGAGGTTCTGGAAAGAGCCAACCTAATATTAAATGCAACTGGGAGTGGTAAGCGCTTGGGACGCTTGTACAATGAGAAATTATCTATTAAAGATCAGCAATATAAGGTAGAAGAATTCACTAAGCTGATAAACACTTTTTGGTAATTCAGACTATTATATCTTCTCAATAAAAAGTGACGGCTCTCACTAATTTCAGGATATGGCGGATAGATTGTTGGATTTTGATATCAACATGGGTGATACAGACCACTTCCTATGTGATGTATTCTCCTCAACAACATAGAGCACATTCTGAAGTAAAGGTATGGCTTTATATTCAATTTTGATTCCCATAGATAAATAAAGGACCATGTAAAAAATGAAATCATATGACCATGCAGAAAGATTGTAATTTTGATTCTCAGGAAATCCTCTGTTTCTTTCAATAGACATCTCGGCAAAGGCAACACGGATTCATGGATGCTCAATCTGTGTTCAATCTATGTGATGGGTCAGGCACACCCTAGAGAGACGTGCGATAAAATTTCTCACTCCATGAAGATGAAATAGTAAAAATGAAAATTTGTCCACTGACTTCTGCAAATTATGCTGAATCATATAATCCGAAGAAAGAGCTACCAGAATATTGGTTCTCTGGGTACATGTGCTCTGTTGTATGTTGTCGTAACACCTGAAAATTTTGAGTTCACATATTTTCTGTGAGAATCAATGACGGAATGCCTGAGCTTCTGAAATATTTAAAAATTTCCTTCTACTATGGTTCTTGTGGAAATGTCAATTTTGATCCTACTTTTTAGAAAAAATAGAAATAATAATTCATGACCACCAACATTTTTTGATATTTTGTTTTTTATTTTCTTTTTGGGGTAGTTTGATGTCTTTGTTAGAGCTCTCAATCTCTTGAATCAACTGCATGGCAGCAATGATATTAATTTGAGTGGTAGGTTTTGCTTGTTTCATGCGATTAAGGGGAAGCGGATTCCGTCTGTGATAATAACTATTTATGACTTATGCTGGTCACTCGAAATGTAAATGAATTTTCATGTCAATGGAAACGAAATGGATCATTTGCAGAACGTATCCAAGTAATTGAGCCTAGAAGATGGCAAGTTGTGTAAGATTTATCCAAACCTTTTGTTTCTTTAAATATAATCTCCAACATCTTTTATTTTGAAGGAATATTTTAAAAAATGGATCGGTGGGGTGGATCGTCTACTCCCCAATCCCTATTGATCTATGGGATTGTCAATTGGGTAATTTTTCTTGAGAAAAAAGGAAGTAGAAAAAATAATATACCTCCAATTTAGCCTCATTTTTCTTTTTCTTATAATGCTCCCACTTTCTCTCTCTCTAAGCCGGTCCAACACATTTCAATATAAACCTGTCTGGTAGATTTTGTACCACCAGACCAGTGAAATTTTACTATCAAAAGCCGGTCTGGCACTTTTTTTTTCAAACCGGCACATTTTGTCAAAGGCCGGTCCGGCCTATCTTTGAGTGTGTCTAGAAATAGAGAAAGAGGTGTTTTGAAGGAGCGTATGTGTAAACAATAGCAAACTGAAATTGAAAATTACAGAAGATTGTTTGTTGGCTTAGTTACCAAAGGATGTAGGGAAGTATCTCTAGTTGAGCTTTTATATAAGTTCAAGGAAGTGGGAAGTTTGAGAACCTTAAAAGGCGTGTTTGACAAAGCATGGGAGATGGCTCTTCTTTCAGCTTCCAAAATCCCACTAGTTTTAACGTGAAAAATTTCCCCCGTTGAAGGCCGCACTTCCACTTTACAGCTTTCACAAGTTGTTATCAAACTTCCACGTCTCAAGAACTGGCATGTGGAAACCCCCACTAATGAGAACTTTAAAATTACGTCTTGACGGCAGTTTTTTAGGCAATCCTGGACAGTGAGGTATTGGCATTGTGGTGATTGGTGAGAAATCATCATTGGCGATTGTAACTACTAATAAGGTAGAGGTTAAAGCAGAATTGCAATGTTAAAAATCACAGAATATTATTGTTGAGGGAGACTCGTTGAACACGAACAAATGGTGTGAAGGTGAGCAAAGTGTTCCCTGGAGGCTGCTACCACTAATTTATGAAATCCAAAATCGTTGTGGAGGGCGTAATATGTAATTTGCTGATATATACAAAGAGTACAACCAGGAGGAAGATATTTGGTCATGCAAGGTGGTTCAAACTCATTTTTGATATTAATGCAATGGAATATTTTACTAGATGGCTAGCTGTTATGTCGATAGAAGCTAGAATCCTCTAAACTCAGAAGTCACTCCCGTTAAAGCTAAAAAAGAAATGGGGCTTACCAAGCAAAAATGGAGAGTCAACAAAATTAATAAAATACCAAAGAAACACATTGTATTTATTAGGGCTGGCAAAGGGCCAGGCCATATCTGGCCCGAGCCCGGCCAGGTCCCTTTAAGGTTGGCCCGGGTTGGGCCTGATGCAAATAGGGTAGAGGAGGCCTTAGCCTAGGCCTGGCTCGGGCTGTGCTAGGCAGGGCATACTTGACTCAAGAATTAAAAGATGAAAAATAAGGGAAAAAAACAGGGCCTAGCAAGGCCTGCCTTAGCCCCAGCCAAGGCTTAGCCAAACCCGCCTTCGGACAGAGTCCAAATATGACCCTAGCCAAGGCCTAGCCAGACCAGCCCTCGGACAGGGCCCAAATGTGGCCCTGGCCAAGGCCTAAGCTGACCCGGCCTAGGGCAGAGCCCAAATGTGGCCCTGTCCTCGCACCAATTTTGTAGCTGCCCTATGCTTTAAGGGCCAGACCAGGCCGTCTTATACTTGATTTAGTGTAATTGCGCCGAACGAATCCCTATGCTTTGTTGTTACTAGGGATTGGGAGCATTCATGGTACTTCTGGTTCCGTGGACGTCTTCAGCTATGTGGTGGGCATAAATCTTTCTAAATGAAATGCAAAGCACCGCTTACTGGTTATTGCAAGTGCGAGAGGTGGGTCGACTTGATCTTGTTGATAACTAGAGCCATATCATTAAAAAAGCTCCAACTCGTGCTCCTCAAATAAGATTTGGAGATTTTTAGGGTGTGGTTTATATAAGGTTGAGGCCCTAATCACTCGAAGTAAGGCACTATGGCCAGAAAAGCAATTTCATCTGCATTATAAAAATTAAAGATTTAAAAATAGTATAAATCAAGCAGATCTACAAACACTTGAAAACTTAAAAAATTGATGGTTCAAATGAAACATTACAAAATACACTATTTTCAAGATTTGAAATCTATTTTTTCTCATGCCAATACATCTTGAGGTAAAGATGATGGAATTGAGGTTTTTTTAAAATTGAAACAACCTCTTCTAGTGAATATTTGAAGTGCATCGCGATTTGATTTTTTAGAGCCACACCTTTATATAAACTTTTGGCTTTTTTACAATGATAGTACGTCAATAGTATGATATAATGACATATACTAGTCTCCGTTTAATTTACAAAATTAAGCCCCATGTGGGCGTTTTGGTCCAATCTTTCTTGTTCTGTTCTCTTTACGTAAAGGAAAATAGTTTGATAGGGCTGCAGTCCTATCAAATAAGTAAAGCCTCAACTCTTAACTCATAGAAAATTATAATTCAAGTATTGAAAAACCTTTAAATTGATCATCTCAGCTTAAATATTATGGTTGTAAAAAAAAAATTAGGATTTCAAGTTCTAAAAATTATGCATATTGCACCAAATTATCTAGACCATCCACGTCACTCTAAAAATAAGTGTTAATAGATCCACAAGATCTATACCATTATTTGAGTTTCAAATTTATTTTCCATGTTAGAAATTAATTTTAGAGCCATCATGAAAATTTCTGATGCCCAAAGTTCTTTCAGGATGAGGATTTGAGGTGAGGCTTTATTTTGTTTTCATTAGCCTAGGCCTTATAGAAACTTCATCCTTAGGTGGAACCTCTCGCCGTCTTCTTATTTTGACTAGTTGGTTTTCTATTTGGGAAAATTACGTAAATATCTAATTTTGTTTTCGTTATTACCAAAATACCGAATACTTTCCGTTATTACTAATATGTCCGTTTTTTTTAAAAAAGACGAAACTACCCATTTTCGGTTTTTCAAAAATCGAAATCAGGCCAATTTTTGTTTTTGAAAACCGAAAAATTTTAAATTTTAAATTCTTCAATAACTGAATTTTTTTTGTCTCTCTTGTGGGTCCTCTGTGTATTCTCTCTCTATATTACACTGGTAAAAATAGTTTTTTTTTGAAACTCTGTCTTCCCTTCACCCGGTGTCTTTTTTTTGGGTAAGTTTCACCCCAGCATATTGAAAGAGAAATTCGGCCTGGTCAAGATATTCCTATAGCTTAAAGAGGTTGAATTAAGGAGAGATATATTCTTCAAGGTAGGGCATCATGGGCTGGGACATGAGCAGCTTGAAGAGCTTGAATTGAGGAGAGATCTCTTCTTGAAGGTAGGGCATCATGGGCATGAGCTTTCCAATCTCCTATGATGTAGGGCTCAAACTAGTTTTTTCCCTTGATAGAAAATGCCACAAGAGAGGTAGAGAGAGAATATGCCATAAGAAAGAAAACGCCACAAGAGGTAGAGAGAGAATGTGTCACAATATTTCTCCTAATCTTCTCATCTTATAATCCATGAGATTTCTTCTAAATTTAGGGTCTCAAACTAGTTGTTACTCCCTGATTTTATCGGATAACTATAACTTTAGAGAGGTAGAGAAGAATTCGTCATGAGAGAAAAACATTTTTCGGTTCTTGAAGAACTGGAAATTTAAAATTTTATGTTCTTGAAGAATCCAAAATTTTAAAAGAACCAAAAATTTTCAATTTTCGATTTTTCAAAAACCGAAATTCGGCTAATCGAAAATGGGTAGTTACGTATTTTTTTTTAAAATGTTATGAAGTCAAAAAAACGGATATATCAATAATAACGGAAAGTATTTGGGATCTTGGTAATAACGGAAACAAAAATAGATATTTACGTAATTTTCCCTTTCTATTTTAACGGGATGTAATATTTTGTTGCCTCATTTTGACAATAATATAAGACTCTAAATCTTAGATTTTGGGTCTCTGCTGCGCCCTTTGTTGACATGTTTTAATTTATTTGTTTTTTCAATTTATTTGTTTACTTTTTTTTTTTTTTTTGTACAAATTGACATAGTTTGGAATATAAATTTTTTATTTTCAGTTTACTCGTTTTTCCGACAATTTTATTTTGCTGGAATGGGCGGTCCGACATTTTGAAGTTGTGGTCCGACGTTTGAAGTTGCGGTCCGGCGTTTTGATATGGAGGTCTGGCATTTTGAAGGAGTAGTCCGGAGTTTTGAAGTAGCGGTCCGGCGTTTTGATATGGAGGTCTGGCATTTTGAAGGAGCAATCCGGAGTTTTGAAGTAGCGGTCCGACATTTTTAAGTGAGCAGTCCAGCGTTTTACAAGTGCGGTCCGACGTTTCCTTTTATTGGGATCCAAAAATGATTTGTTACATGAGGGAAGGGTACTTTAGTAAAAAAAAATTAACTTTTTGTATAGGGGGTATTTGCTAGGAAACATAGTTTTTTGTGGGAAGTTGCTAGGAAAAGTTGAGTATGGGTAAAATGCGCAAAAAGTTCATCTTGGGGAGCTTTTTGTAATTTTTTCAAAAGTTTATATAAAGTTGCAACTTTAAAATGTAGAATTACATATGCAACTCAAAAATCCATTAGAAAATATTATTTTAATATTGAAAAGCCTTGAAAGATGTATGACTATGAAAAAGAAAAAGAAAAAGATTTTAAGTATCAGAAATAGTGCATCTTGCAACATATTATTTAGA